GCGCGACCTGCTAGGCGTCACGGCTGACATCGTCCCGTTCGAGGCCTCGCCGGCGGGGCTCGTCTCTTTCCTGGCGGCCGACGAGGCCCTGCGAGGCGCCGCCGTGCTGTGCCCCGTGCCGCTGGTCGTGGGCATGCGCGAGCCGCCCGTCGTGCCCCGCTTTTTGCACGCGCTCACGGAGGGGGGCTTCCGCGTCACGGCCGTGGGCGCGTATGAGACGCGGCCCGTGCAGAGGAAGGTTGTCGAGTTTGAGCTCGGCGCCGTGCTGGCGGGCCGCGCCGACGCTATCGTGTTCACTAGCTCGGGGGAGGCGTACGCGCTCGCGGGGATTATGACGGAGGAGGAGAGGACACGATTTGCGGCCTTGGTCGAGGAGGGGGACTTGCTTGTCGTCGCACATGGGCCGTATACGGCGGAGGGGGTTAGGGAGGCTATGGGGGTGCGGAACGTGCTTGTGTCGGACAAGTTTGAGTCGTTTCAGGGAATTATTGACGTCCTTGAGGCCGCGTTTGCGGAGAGGGAAGCAGAAAAAGGGGAGTTGCTGCTCCCGACATGAAGGGTTGGCATGTCCACTTCAAGTGCGATGCTTTACATAGGTACGAGTGCTATATGCGAGTTACTGTATTAGTCAATGCGAATGGAAGAATAGATCTTTCCTGTGAACCAAAACGAGGAAACGAATCCCACGGTCCCGCACATAAGCGAGAACGCACCGCTCACTACAAGGCTCCAACAGACAAACACCACGATGCTCACAAACGGGATCGGCACGTCGCTACGCTGTGCGAGCGCAAAGTAAAGGCTGTAAAGGAACACATACAACCCCGCCGATGCCGGGCCCCAGAAGGAGGTGTGCCAGTGCGACTTCCAATCCTCCGCGGAGAGAGACAGATACGTTGACACGATGCTCATTTCTGCGCAGGTCAACACCAAGATGAGAAACACGGAGAGCAACGCGCCGTACAAGTAGTATACACTGCCGGTCCACATGGAATTCAGGATGAAGACCAGTTCCATGAACACCGTTCCAAACGGCAGAACGCCGGCCAGGACAGCATAGATATAAGGTGACACCCCGAATGGCGGGTCCGGGATTTGTCTTTGAATCTGGTTTGTCCGAGTCGGGAAGTCATATCTTTTGGTTCTGTATCCAGATTGGGAGCCGATAAAAACCAGTGGAACGGAAATGCCAAACCACGCGAACAAGATCAGCAGTAGTGTGGTGAAGGGGACGCTTCCCGACGATCCGACCCACCACATGGACAGGTTGAGGGCGAAGAAAATTGAAAAGGTAATGCCAGGGAAGAGCAGGGCAGTTCCGAACGTGACGAGCCGTCTCGACACGCCCGTATCAATTCTTATGTACAGACGCGAAGACACGTATCCAGATACGAAGGAGGCCAGAACCCAGAGGGTGATCAAGGCTGTGAGAAGGCCGCCGCGGTTGGCGGGGGACAGAAAGCCAATGAGGGCGAAGAGTTGTGTGGCGAGGGCCATGACGAGGACTTGGGCACCGGAACCGACACAGATGGAGAGGAAGGGAGCGAGCTTGGGGGGTCGGAAGACGTCGGCGTGGATGTACTTCCAGCCGGTATGGTCGTCCTCGTCTTCGTCCTCCACTACAGCATTGTACCTTCCAAAGTCGCGGAGAACGGTGCGAAGCATGACGGTGGCGACCAGGGCGGTGAGGAAGAGAGAAACCATGAGGGAGTTGACGATGGAGACCCACTGGATCTTTTTAATATCAGCATTTGCATCCAGTATGGGATCCCATCTCGTGGCCCAAGCGAGGTCGGAGGACTGAAAGTTGACGTCATAAGTGAAGGTGATGTTCTGATCGCGTGCGACGCGCTGGAACTGGGGTCGGTCCGAAGGCTTACACGCGCCTTCCGGGAGAACTCCGGCAGGGTCGGGGGCGTGGTTGAGGGAGAAGGGCTCGACCTCAAAGCCGACGATGCGGAAGGCATCCTTGTTAGCCGTGAGGGCATCGATGGCTTCACCTGCGCTGAGCGAGGGCTGATGGTAGCGGATGGTGAGCCTGACGTGGTTGTTGATGAAGACGTCATTGGCGACGGTGAAGCCGAGCTTGTAGCCAAACTTGAAGGCGCGGTGCCCCGCGCTGGTGGTGTACCTGGTGACGAGTGGCATGTTGTCGGCGTTGAGTCTGGCCGAGTAGTTCTCCTTGATCCTGTTGAGCAGGCCTTTGTACGGTCGTTCTTGAAGCGTTGCGAGGGCGACGGTGCAGACGACGCGACAGGAAACGGGGTGCATCATGTTGATGGTGTAAGGTGTGGGGAAGGCGCGCTCCCCCGAGAGAAGCTGACCCAAGTTGACGGGGCGGCTTTTCAAGGAGCCTGGCGTTGCGCAGAAGGGGAGACTGTAGTAGCCGTACGGAAGGGTGTTGGAGGGGGAGGTGAGCTTGTTGGCGAGGACCTCGACGACGTCGCCGTCTGCATACTCCTGCATGGCGATGCCGGGGAGGTAGAAGGCATGGGCGGGGGCGAGTAGGAGGGCCAGGACGAAGGGGAGGGAGATACGGGGAGGCATGGCGCAGGGGGCGTGGGGGTTTGAGTGGGGAGGAGAGCGGGGGAGGACGGAAGAGGGCGGGGGAGGACGGAAGAGGGCGGGGGAGGGAATAGAGGGAGGGAGGAGGGCTGCTCACTCTACTGATAGTAGAGTGAGCGACCCGGGGGAGGTGGGTTTTAGCTTGCATAATGCGAGTAGGAGGGTGGGGCGATCACGAGAAGGCAAAGGGATGATCGAAAGCTTCTGATTTGCGTTTTCTATTCTACCTCTGTATTGCGTCATTTTTTGCGTCATTGCCTACCTTCCGTCCTTACAGCGCACTACAGCACTGTGCGGTCGCTATTCTACAGTACCTCGGGTTCTACCTTAGATCCACGTACTGCACCAGCATCGCGCAAACGTCGGATGTTTGTTTCCTCTCAATAACTCTCAGCAAAGGCAAGACATTTTTACAACCTGTGCCCGACGCGGCAGCCTAGTGTCTAGGTGACAAATGACCTCATATGAGGTCACTTTTCAACTTATTTTTCTCGACTTGTGCTAGCTCAACAAGATGGAAAAAAGACACTCTCGACACGGCAGTTGACTTCTGCGTTGTGGAAGGGTGGAGTTTGGTGAGATATGCACGTCTTCTCCAGCCATTTTTAAAATGCCCAAAAAGGAGCCTTTTTTGACCAACCTCAAAACGTTTTATGTTGATATCTTCGAAACCAAAACGCCTGTTTAAAAAGTCAACTCATCATTGATACTTCATTAGATTCTTAGTCTCTCTGTGCATTGACAACCGCCATCCCAATGTTTTGCAAGATGTTATTGCCGAGCGCGTCTACGTTAAAGAAATGGTGTCCAAACTGAATGTTTTAAAGTTTCGATTTAATTTATATATTTTTGCAAAAAAAAAGCTGGCCTCATATGAGGTCAAATTGCTTGTCGTCTAGACACTAGCACTTACCCAAGGGTAGCACTAGCAGGTGCTCCTGCTCTAGCCTAGGATTTGAAAAAAGGTTGACCCTCTAGTCTTCGTTCAAAGTTCTACCGTTCGTCGTTGAGCGCTCAGCTCTGAAACCCGGCCGCGTCGTTGGATTGAAAATAACCGTTAAACCTTCATCTTTCCTATTCTTTTGTTTGGGACACAAAAAATATGTTTGGAAACCGGTAGTGTTTCTGACTTTTCTTATAAAAGCAATTGTTAAGAAAAGTTGTTTCTTACAAAACAGAAGGATTAGATAAATCTTGCGAGCTTCGCCAGCCTTCGCCAACCCGGGCACCTTGTTCCCTCGCCCCTGCCCCGTCCACAAGGCTTCACGCAATCGTCATCTCCGTCGCCGCCTTCGCAATGGTCAGACTTGCCTCAATCTCTGCGAAGAACGCATCCAGTGACGGTATGGTAATATCCGCTCCCATTGTGTCCTCTAACATAGCGTCTAGCTTTCACACCTCGAACGGGTGCCACCGTCACATGATCCGCGCGCCATCGCACGGCCTCCATCGCATGCACTGTCGTATCACAGCTTAGCGGGTCCAGCACCGTGGCCTCGTTGCCCTCAGGAAATGGCTTCGCGATCCGGCCGCCGTCAGGAGCACGGAGACCGTCCATGTCTGTTACAAAGACTTGGGTCGTCGGTGTTTGGAGAGTACACGCCGAGAGTGCGGCCATGCTGAGCTGCATACTCTACCAGCAAGGCCTCACAGCATCATGGCTCGTCCAGCAGCATGGCTTCACGGCATCATTGCACGTTCTCATTGCCAATGTTTTTCTCTTACCTCACATCCCACTCGCTCGTCAACAACAAAGTAGAAGATAGACACATACGGGCAGAGGCCTCAAGAGACTTGGGGGATACAGTCCTTGAATATCGCTTAATATCGCTTAATATCGCTTAAAAATGGAGGCCTTTTTGGACTCCCAAGTCAAAAGCCCAAAGCAATCATAAGTGTGGACGCCGACCTCACCTCGCGCCTCACCAACGAATCACTTGGTCTAATCCTCTTGAGAGCTGAGGTCAGCTTGGGCACCAGCTACAGAAACTGTTGCTCGACTGTGCCAGTCAAAAGCCCTCAAAGCTACAGGAGCCATGCATGTTAGTCAGTGCACCCTTGTCTTGCAATTGTCCAATGAACACCATTGGTGCTCCGGGACTTGCATCTTGCATGACACATCATGACATTCAACGTGACCATGACTTGAAATTCAAGGGCAGAAATATCGCGGATGCAGCAACTCTTACACAAGAGCGCCTGTCTTTCCGACCAATGGTTATCATAACATGACAGTCTACGAATTTTATTTCTTTTCAACTTTGATGGCCACGGTTTCTACTTTTTTTTGGACGGTTGACTCGTTTATATATATAAAGTTACACCCAGGGTAGATAAGAAAGCCCTCAACACATTGTTTCTATGCTACTGGTATAAGCTTAGCATAAAGAAAAATACGTACTGTAAGCTCACTTCTTCTTTTCAACACCTTTACTTGTATGTAGGTCAAGTTGGTCTTTGTTAGAATCGACAAGCTGTGCTTTACTTGTAGTGATGGCCTTCTAGTTTCAAAAACACAAGTGAAATCGCGCATTGCCTTGTTCACAAAGAACAAAAATAACTTTTGTCCTCACATGAGCACTAATGGTCCGATAGACACTAGAGAAAGGAGGCTGAGGTAAATAATACCAAAGGGTACTTGATAGAATTTCGACTTCATCACGGTTCACCACGGTATCGTGTCCATTTAAAGAGTATGGTGACCAAATACGCAGCACTGCAATACTTGACCTGGTCGTGGTCTCAGTTCCAGGCTGGAACTGGAACTTCCAGCAGATTCGAGTTAGCATAAGAGCGACCACCAAGGCAACCGCTTGATCGACCCTACGTGCTGGCCCGGCTGGGAGTGCGTTTTAAGACAGGTAGAATGGGTCACTTGCATATCCAGAAAGTGAAACCATACCCGTACATTGTCCCGTGGATCTATGACTCGACAGGGACAAGTACGGACACAGAACGGTTTCAATTCGTGTCCACTGATCTTTGGGTGCGGTAGTTGATCTCAGAACATTGTATGTAACCTTACTCTACAAACCCGTTTCGTGTTCTAATGTCGCAGATATGAAAATATTTTTGTGATACATTTGTGGTTGTCTTCTTGTGAAGGATGCGCCTTGCAGGCGTAGATATTCGAGCTGTACAGTGCCCTGAAAACGGGCGTTATCATCCCAGATCCGCTTCCTTCAACTTTAAACACGCAGACCAACCAGCAAATCGCCCAAATGGGAGCGACCTGCACACTTCAGTGTTCTCGACAGTGAGGCGTGAGGGAGGGTCTTAACTTGCCCGAGTTTGCCCGGGTTTGCTTGCCCCGAGCCATGATTTGCACTACTATTGGCTACTGGGCGTTAATATATGATTTGAAACTAAGTACGACCCTACACTGCAAGCTCAAGTTATGTCAGTGTGTAATGACAAATGTCAATCATATATTGGCTACTTTTGTAAGTTTGTAACTTTCGAATTTGGACGCTGTGCTCCGGTGGACGCAGTGCTTGCCCCTTGCCGAAAACATCCTCAACTCCCCCTTTGCAAAAATCTATGCACCTGCCATCTCGCAAAGGCAACCCAACTCTACGAAGCACCTCTCTGCCGACTACTTTCCTGAAAATGGCTTCCACACCTCAATGCCACGTGCGCCGTTCTCCGCGCCTCTGGCGCATCTCTCTGACTCCCACCATTCGGAAGACGGGGGCCACCAACGCAAAGTCTCTCACTATTGCTTCCTCGTCTGCAGCGGACGTTTCTGACCAAATATTATCCCCCCCTCCATACGGTATGTACGACTGAATTCTTTGTCGTTAAAAATCCTGTTGGCTCTGACAAAAGTCCATCCCCGTCCGAGATCTAAGGGCTTTGTGAATTTTCGGGGTTGAGGATAGTTTGAAATAGCTTGGTGCAATGAAAGGAGGGAGAATAGAGCTGCGGTTGCGGTTAGTGCGGTCGTAGCAGTGATGATTCTATTGCCGTGCATTGCGTAGGAGTGATTAGATTGAGAAGAAAGGAGGGGAGGCGAACGGCGATACTGGGCAGTGGTTGTAGATCCGTTTTTTGACCAAACAGCGCCGGCGATAGATACGCTATCCCGCGGAGTGGTAAGGGTGACCCCACCGCGCCTTGCCCAAAATCGCAAAAAGCAGACAGTTGTCCTCCGGTAATTGGATCTACTATCTTTTAATCAAGCCGCGCTTTGGGGGAGGTGGTGATTCAGAGATGAACCCCACTGCGCCTGTAACACGATACATCTATTCATATTCAGGGTCACCCCAATTAGGCTACAAGTATGTCGTAGAAATACATTTGGCGCAAAGAAGCAAGCTACTGCACGCGTCTGTTCCACAATTGGCGGCAACTTTTGCTCGTCACTTGCCCGCTCTCCATAATATGTAGGCTCCTGTTTGGGAATTATCAACTCGGCAAGTACACCACGCTTTCAATTCCTATTATGGACTCTAGAACTGCGCTCTCAGCAACGCACAGGGCAAGATTCTCCTCGTCTGACCACCCCAGTCCCTTACCCTTTTTCCTCACTCTTACTGCCGAGTCATCAGTCCTAGTAACCACCTCAGCCATTGCCTGCACTTCTCAGAAGACGAGAAGGAGGGAGAAGATGGGAAATGTCCACGAGCGAAGGCTGCACAACACTCCTTTTTGCGTCCCACACTATTGATGGGACTTCAGTCAAAACAGCCCCAAAGCCATTTGGAAGAGCTTTGGTAGAGCTGTAAGCACATGAAATTCAGATGTTTTCTGTACCGTTACTATAGAACGAAGCTCGCCCAAACGGCGCTTTGGACAAAAATCTCGACCAAATAATTTTGGTTTGGAAAAGAATCCTTCCCAAATTCTAAACTTTAGGACAAATGGTGGCGCGGTGGGGTTCAAAATTTCTTCCATCGGTCCGAACTTTAGTCCATCAGTCCAAACTTTAGTGGTTGGAATTTTAGGACAGAAATTTTGTTGGCGGTGGGGTCACCCTAAGGAGAGAAGTAGGGGGTGAGATCAATTATTTATCCCGGTGATCTGGGATCACCCGCAATGGCCACGTTCTGGGTCGGAAGCGAGCGACGCTGCAGCGTCTCGCGTCCATGTCGACGCGTCCCTGGGGCGAAGTTGTTTGACGCTACAGCATGTCACGTCCCTGTCGATGCGTCCTCGGAGCGAATTTGTAGAACCCACAGTGTCCTCCCCGTTGCGTTCTGGCAATTTATGGCGCTGTATGCCTCTGTAAGTCAGCACCGTCGCTCTGGGACACCTGTCCACTACTAACGTAAGGGAAAGGACACCTGTCCACTACTAACGTAAGGGGAAGGCGTGTTCTTACATTAATAAATTAATAAATGACCGGCAAACTCGGGCAAGCAAAGCAAACCCGGGCAAGTTAAGACCCTCCCTGATATCCCGCACGATGAGTAGATATCTCGACTATCTTACACGTATGTGCCCCTCCTCTGCTTGGGGAAAAGGCTCAAATCAGCCGGGGAGTGGAATTGCTCTGCTTCGTTCTGATGGACCCTTTCATGTTTAGGGTGTAGCTCTCTGTTGTGAGGGTCGCCTGAAAAAGTCCCTGGGTGCCAAAAATTTCTACTCTGTACTGTTTATCTCCAGGCAGACGAAAAAAGAATACGTGTAGCCTTTTTGTAACAGGAGAGCAGACTATAGGCGCCCTCACACACAGGCACAACCTGATGGCACTATGCCTCTGGGCGATGTCCTTCGCACGCTTATCACAGGTGCATCTCTCGCTGTTTAGTATGGTGTTACCAGAGAGGAGCGCAGAGGCGGATGTTCCAAAAAAATAATGAAAAATGAGCAAAGCCTGTTGCAGAATCCCGACCACCGATGACTACAACGAGATTTGTCTTTTCCATCAAGAGCAATCGAGAGCCGCAGTACGCCCACAACATACATACAACTTGTACCTGCACATACACCTCTTTGTGAGATGCTGCTTTTTCACTGATTTTTCGTTGGTTACTTCCGACTCCAACTGAGAATCTGCACAAAACGGCGATGGGGATAATATCTTCTACGTGATGAGCTTATCAGAGGGAAGGTCTGGTACGCAGCAGGGTGTCAGGAATGCATGTCGATGAAGAACGAGGAAATCTCGGAGCGTCTGTGGGAAAGCCGAATAAAACCCTTCAAATGGTAACAAAACTAAAAGTCCGTCATCACCTCACGGACCAACACAGCTTGGGGAGACTTTTTTTGCCTTTACCCTATGCACATGAATTTTCTAACCCATAGGCTTGCTTCTGTCATGATTAGGTGTTTGAAAAACAGGCAGCTTCAGAAAAATTCTGCTTACTTGAGAAGGAAAAAAACGCGTGGAAGACTACATTTTAGTGAAATTCCAGCTCACTGGGATGGTCTTGATTGCTCTCTGAACACTGATTTTACTGCTACTAGTTAACAGTTAAGTCTTTTTTTCCCATTTCTCTTATCAAAGTCCTGTGTCTTCGCCAATGCGGTACCTCTTGCCAACTCGTAACGCGAGGAAGCTTGCGGGCAGCATCTTGACAGTTCGTCTGAATTTGTACAAGCTATTCCTGATTTTCGAAATGAAAAAGGACTCCAGAGCGCCCCGACTCGAGTCACTGATCGAATGCAGCTCAAATATCGCAGCCACCCCCAGACACACATATCATTCTTTGACGGCAGTGCAAGACCGGCAAATAGTTTTGTTGCAACCTTGGCATCGATTGCGGCGGTTCGGTGTTTTGTTGCAGGAGCAGCATGTCCATACTCCGCCCTTTCTTGACAAAATACAGTCTGAACCACCGCAGGGACTGCTGTGCTCAGTGACTTTTTTTCCTTTCCTGTTTGGGCAATTGGCAGGTGATATTGGGTTGCGTTCCGGGTTCGTATCTCGGACAGCCTGACTGCACATTTTCGTGCTTTCGGTCACATGCGCGCATGCGTACCGGTGCACATAGGTTTGACACATCGCGCCTTGTCTGATGTGCGGATGCAACTTCTTCACGATGTAGACGAAGTCAGAGCTGGCAAGGTGGCTCCGGAGATGAAATTGTGTGTGAACGTATTTAAAGACTGACGCGGGCGGATAACTAGTCTGTCCGTCGCAGGCCCAACAGCGTGTATATATATACATCGGGAAATCAAAAACTACGGCTCATGAACGTGGCACCCGCATTATGGATTCGGGCATTTGTCGCCAATGTCACAGAGTCGCGTGGAAGCCAAGAGCCGCCTGGGAAGGCATAAATTTGACCCGAAAGGAAGGTATTCCCTGGCGCATCGTGCAATCCTCTCCCTTTTCCATTACAAATGTCTTTTCCGGTTTGTTCTGTTGCGAGCCGGACAGGACTCTGGGTGTGCAACGTTGTCCCACGGCGCAAATGCGATTCTAGTCAAAGTACGAGGGCGAACGGTCCACTTCACGTTTTCTCATGTTAACAGCGAATTGATGTTGGTGACTGAGATACTGAAATACTCGACAGCCTTGCCATGCACTTCAACGAAACTGGGGACGCCTTCCCGTTTTCTAATAATATCATGCCCTGGCTCATCCGGTTGGGTAGACAACTTGCAAGGAATGATTAGTCTAAGACGGGGGGTGGAGAATCGCCTGGCCTTACGTTATCAAAATATCTCCGCAATGCAGGAGAATGTTTTGATGTGAGTTCAGTCGCATAAAATCCAAAAATTCGTATGAAGGAATGGACCCTCAAGATCGGAGCAGAGGTCTCCCTGAGAATACGAAACGTGTACGGTATCCCGAAGACCCTGGACTCATGACTTTTGCACGCACCTGGATTCCTAAAGAGAGTTTGCTATAGAACTCTTAACATCCCAATTCGTTTGTTACATGTTACATCTAACTTTTGAGAGAGAAAGAGAGAGCGGGAGAGAAAGAGAGAGTCGGGATTTTTGATGTAAGAATAAGCTGTGTTCCGGTGTCATTTCCATGCAAATTAATTACACAATGCATAAGACAAGAAACTCATGTTTCACACCCTTTTTAAACCTTTTGTTGAAACCCATGTTAGTTCTGGGTTGCACTGTACGACTTCATACCCACGCATAGGCTGAGTGCGAACATGCTGAAATCAGTCTAGTTTCGCCAACAAGGCTTCTCTTAATAATTACACGAACTAGTGAGAGAGCGGTTGAAGATCTTTCATGAATACTGCAGTAATTCTTTAAATGTCGGAAGTGTGAAAAAGCACGAAGGCGACTTGAAACGATGGGAGATAACTTAACAAACGCCAAGTGATACGGACATATAAATTGCTTCAAGTACAACCATGCGCAATCAATTTGTAAGGCATCAATCACCTGTTTTGACGTTAAGAGCCAGAAGGTAATCTGTGAAGAGTGGATCGTTTCTTTCTAAAACTGTACGCAATCTTGCGCCTTTCGCGGAGGACAGCCGTTGTCGGCGTCCATATTTATAGCACACAAGAGGTCTGTGTCCTTTGAATGTCCCCATTACCCGCTGTGTGCCATGATGGGGGGTGAAATAACAATTCTTTCTGCTGATGCCAGACCCTTCACGCATGGCATGCTTGTAAAGAGTAAGGGCCTCGATAATGAGACCAATGACTCTGTGATGATGTGGAATTAATGAGTAAAACGCCTGCTACTGGGGCTAGCATGCAAGAATCGCGAATTCGAAGACTTCTCGGACTTGGTGCTGGGTACACATACATATGTCTTTCGCTACAGTTAGTCCACGATTCGGTGGATAGAAGGATTGGTAATCTATCCTTCTGGTTTAAGAAAAAATGATTTGGTCAATGTTCTGCCTGCTCTTGAGAGCAGGCAGAACATTAACCAAAACTGAGATCAGTGGTGAGGTGCTTGTTCATCTGTTTTTTTCCCAGAATCACGAGATTTTCTCTTTCCAAGGGCCCATACATTCAGGGCTGAGTGCAAGGAGCGCCTTCCTCTCCACACCCGCGTTTTTTTATTCGTGGACGTCGACTGTTGCCCACGAGCATTGAAGTAACGAATATTGATTTTATTTCTATAAAGAAGAAGGGAAGATGGCAATTCACAGGCTACTATGTGACGGGGCTCTAATACTGCCGTTGTGTGTGTTGTGTGTGTTGTGTGTGTTGTGTGTGTTGTGTGTGTATGGGCTAAAGATGTATCGAAAGAGAGCTTTCGTGTGATTGTCCTGGTTGGCTCAGTAGCAACTGGTACAATAGTACTGTACGTCAATATATTCCAATTCTCGTACACGTGTTCGTTGTGTTCTCCACTGACGAGCTCTGCTTGGTGCATCTCCATTCTGGCAGTGCAAGACTGAAGAGGCTCACGTTACCAACAAGAGATCAATTTGATGAGCTCTCGTTCGCTTTCCACTCTGCCTCATCTTGCCGTGGTCCAGACGAAGTGATTGTGCGTGGGAACCAGTCTGATGGGTTCGTTTTTTATCCGCCTCTCCAAATCGTTGCGGTACATCGGTTTTTAAGGCTGGTAGTTGAGCTGCTACCTGATATCAATTTGCGGCAACCACTCTGTGAACATTTCTTTCACGGGTGTTGGAGAAGTACGGCCATTGGAGACGTACGGCTATCGGAATGCGACGCAAGTCGTATTCAAAACTATCTTTTGTACAGCTATTTGGAATATATCCGTGTAGAAGCTCTGTGCCAAATGTGAGCGACGTTCATCTACGATGTAACGTGAGGCGAGCGACACACTACCGTGGGCGCAGACGAGTGATCACATGTTGCTTTGAGGAAACGTCACCGGATAAGGAAAAAGGTGAGCTTGTGGCGGCTGATATGCAGACTGCGCCAGGCTGCGACTCATTCTCCGACCCGTTCGACTCGCTTGCACCTCGCCATTTTATAAACTTGACCAATGGGATTGAGGCGCTACCGCACATCTCTGCCATCGTCTCGCCTGACGAACTGCGCTTCACTCGGATCCAGTCATCGCATTGCGAGAGTAGTGCCTACAATAAGCTTCTTGCTTCACTGGATACTGAATTACTCTTCTCTTTGGCGTGTGGACGAGCTTGTTATGTGTACGATTTCGCAAGTCGCAATAAATGTCGGGGCGTCCCACGGGCATTGTTCCTGGGGTTGCAGTTTGTGAAGTGGAGTCTGTCGTACCTGTGGTTCAAGGGTGAGGAGGACATGATCCCAGAAAAGGTTTTCGTGAGAGGAAACAACACGGTTCCTTTTTGGAGAGACCAGGTGATGCCACACATGATTGAAAAGGACACGAAGAAGAGAATTAGATACTTTGCTCCATTCGCGAAGGAGAGGGGGCTGCTACACGTGAGACTACACGGTGTGTATGGACGGGTGAGCGCGATTGATGGACACAAAAGCGTGCACGTGAAGATCGTTCACGACTGGCTGGCACAGGAAGACGTTTCTCGTAAGGGACATGGGGAAGAAGAACGCGACTTGACTGAGTGCTTCCGTGCCCAAGGTTTGGCGGAATTTCAGGCGGATCTGACAAAAGAGGAATTAGTCACTATCCAAGAATGGATGGAGGGCTTCCGGAGTCAGTCGTAGAAGTTGAAAAGCGTAAAACGAGACAACAGTTTACTGCCGTCTAAATATTCTGGCGCTTCTAGTAGATGCCGGCGTAGGCGACCGCGCAATGATACCGACTGTGAATAGTGTGACGCAGCTGATGCAAAACGCAACGGTTAACGCGCTTATGCCTTCTTCTTGGACACACCAACAGTACGACCACGTCGGCCCGTAGTCTTGGTATGTTGCCCCCTGACTCTGAGGCCGAAGTAATGGCGCATACCGCGATGAGAGCGGATCTTTCTAAGGCGATCGAGGTCTTCCCGCATCTTGAAGTCGAGCTGATTCGCGATGAGCTGCGAGGTCTTTCCGTCCTTGAAATCGCGCTGACGATTGAGAAAGTAGTCCGGGATCTTGAATTGGCGCGGGTTTTGGATGATAGTGACGATGCGATCGATTTCCTCATTGGAGAGGGAGCCCGCACGCTTCGCAAGATCGACGTCAGCCTTCTTGAGGACGAGGTTGGAGAAGCGACGACCGACACCCTTGATCGAGGTGAGCGCGTACATGACCTTCTGCCGGCCCTCGATGTTTGTGTTGAGAACACGCAGGATGTGCTGGAACTCCTCACCCTCCATTACGACCGCCATGATTGCTGGATGAAAGGTAGATGAGCGACGAGGACGCGGGAACTGGGGTAATTGTTGGGATTGCGATTCAGTTGGTGAGGATGGGAGTCTTTGCGACGGTGAGGAGGGTGCGTGTGTCCGGGTGGGGGGGGGGGCGACGACGAGAGAGAAGAGAGAAATATGTACACGTGTGTGAACAGCTCTAAATTTTATAGAAATTCTACGCTGCATGAAACGGGATCCTATCTCTTCTCCGCTGAAGATTGGATCATTGCCTCTGAAGCATTGGCGTCGTCCCGTCTCCTTGCATCACTTTTCGCGGGCGTTAGCGGAATGTGCTGCGCTTAGACGAATCGTCCAAAGACCTTATTCAACTAGCAGTTAACCTCATAGCACTCGACCTTCTGAGAGTCTCTGAATTTTTGCGGTTTGTCATGACATCGGCACAGGATGCAGTTCGCGCTGCTGTGCAGCTAGCGCTGCGCAACGACGTGATGATGGAAAGCGACGAGGCGAAACGCCCGGCCGCTGTGAAAGACACGGGTCCGTCACCTGGTCCGTCAACTGGTCCGTCACCCGGTCCGTCACCCGAACAGAAGAAAACGAAGGAGGGCAAAAAGACGGCACCAAAACGAAAGCAAAACAAGAAATTGAGCGCAGACAGCAACTGGAAAGCGCTTCAAAAATCGCTCGGCAAAGGCGTGAAGTCTGGCAAAAGGAGTGCGAAGCGGCCTCGCGCGCATAGCGCCGACGAAACGACCTCGACCTCGACCTCGAACGTGCCAAAGGCGGCGGACGCGAAATTTAGCTCGTTCATGAAGCGGCGCGTGACGTCAACCGACGAAGTGTCGCGGGTGGTGGCGATCGATTGCGAAATGGTGGGGATCGGGCCGGGGGGTAAAGAGAACGCTCTAGCGCGAGTATCGATGGTGAACTACTCCGGGGACGTGCTGTACGACACGTTTGTGCGGGTGCGGCAGGTGGTGACGGACTACCGGACGGAGTTTTCCGGGGTGCGAGCGGCGGACGTGGCGGCGGACGCGGCCGAGGCGACGGAGCTGTTCGAGGTGCAGAGGACGGTGGGCGAGCTGATGAAGGGGAGGGTGGTTGTCGGCCATGCGATACGCAATGACTTGCAGGCGCTGAGACTGAAGCACCCGTGGAAGGACATTAGGGATACATCGGAGTTCTATAAGAGGATGTGGCGACGGACGAAGGGGAGACGGAGCGCGAGGGGGCCCGCGTTGAGGGTGGTGGTGGCGTCCGTGCTGGGCGTGGACGCATTTCAGAAGGATGAGCATGACTCGTGTGAGGATGCGAGGGCGGCGCTGATGTTGTATAAGAAGAATGCTAAGGCGTGGGAGACGGAGATTAGGGAGAAGGGGTTGAAGGGGGGGAAGAAGAAAAAGAGATGAGGCGGCGGGGGGGAGTGGGCGAGTATAGATGGTACCGTAGTAGTCGCAGCAGGTAACATGAAAGTGTAATGGAGAGATGGGAAGGGCGTGGTGCCTACGGATGAGTCGAGTTGCCAGTTGCCAATCATGAAGACGGTGCGGTTTAGTTTGGAGCTTGATGGCACACCTTCAGGTTCTCCTTTAAGAGAGCAATTAGTGAGTGAATTCGCTCCGAAGAGGACCTCGAATTTTATTCTGAAAAGTGACAGCATTACCATCCCTGCATTGCGTGACCATGTCGCCGGACGGCGTCCCTCCGCCCTCACCACCTTTGATACTTGTATCGTCGGGTACAGCACAGTACAGCGCATCCATCCTCATCGCTTCAGACACCATCCTTCCCCTTTTGGCAATCTCAGTCCTATCCCCTCCCTCCCCACGGTCGTTGCAACATCGCCCGACGCTCGTGCGACCAATCGAAGCACTTGTTTCCCAGCATCTGCCCTTCCCGTGCCAATCGCGTCTGCCTAGAGCCTCATGAGCGGACAGGGCACTGCCGACATGGCCTCTGCAGCGGAAGCAATGCTTGGCCTCCAAGTCGACGCCACCGCGGACGATCCTGCCGCCGCCGCCGCCGAGAAGGCCGCCAAGCGCAAGACCGCCAAGGACGCGAAGAAGGCCGCCAAAGCCGCCAAGGCCGCCGCCAAGGCCGCCGCCAAGGCCGCGGCGCAGACCACCACGAAAAAAGGAGCCAATCGCGACGGAATGGAGACTTCCAAGAACGACGACTTCGGTCAGTGGTACTCGCAGCTTGTCGTCAAGGCGGAGATGATCGAGTTTTATGACATCTCAGGTTGCTACATTCTCCGCCCCTGGAGCTACGCCATGTGGGATACCATCCATGACTACTTTGACTCTAGAATTAAGAGCATGGGTGTGCAGAATGCCTACTTTCCGCTCTTTGTGACTGAGAAGCGCCTCACCACAGAGGAGGATCACATCGAGGGCTTTGCAGCGGAGGTTGCCTGGGTGACCAAAAGCGGTCAGACCGAGTTGGAGGAACCCATCGCCGTGCGTCCGACGTCGGAGACCATCATGTATCCGGCGTATGCCAAGTGGATTCGGAGCCATCGCGATCTCCCACTGCGCTTGAATCAGTGGTCCAATGTCGTGCGTTGGGAGTTCAAGTACCCGACCCCGTTTATTCGATCGCGCGAGTTTTTATGGCAGGAGGGACATACAGCGTTTGCGACGAAGAGGGAGGCGGATAAGGAAGTGTTGGAGATTCTCGACTTGTACCGCTCGGTTTATGAGGATGTGCTGGCGGTCCCAGTCATCAAGGGCATGAAGTCGGAGAAGGAGAAGTTTGCGGGTGGCTTGTATACCACCACCATTGAAGGTTTCATTCCGACTAATGGGCGCGCTATCCAAGCTGCCACAAGCCATTGTCTTGGGCAGAACTTTTCCAAGATGTTTAAGATCGAGTTTGATGGCGGGGATGGCGCTATGCACTATGCGTGGCAAAATTCCTGGGGCTTGACCACGCGCTCTATTGGTGTCATGGCTATGGTGCACGGCGATGACAAGGGCCTTGTTTTGCCCCCGAAAATTGCACCGATTCAAGTCATCATCGTCCCCATCCTGAAGAAGGGCAAGGAAAGCAACATTATTAAGGCCGCCACGCAGTTGGCAAAGGACCTTCAGGACGCAGGTATCAAGGTCAAGGCTGATACTCGGGACGATAAGAACCCGGGGTGGAAGTTCAACTATTGGGAACTCAAGGGTGTGCCGCTTCGTCTTGAACTTGGCCCGCGCGATATCGAGGCCGGTACCGTTATGGCCACTCGTCGTATCGACGGCGACAAGGAGACGTATACCCGTAATGGGGTCGTTGATGCTGTAAAAAAGGCGCTGGATGACATCCAGAAATGCACTTTTGAAAAAGCCCGAATCGAGAGGGATGCCAGTATTAAGAGTGTCACGAAATGGGAGGACTTTGTGCCGACTCTGGATCAAAGGACGATGGTACTTGCCCCCTGGTGCAACGAAACCCCCTGCGAAGAAGATGTCAAAGTTAGAAGCGGAGAGGAAAGTCAGAGGAGACAAGAGGAGGCTGGTGAAACCGATATCAGAGCCCTGTCGGGATCTGCAAAGACCTTGTGCCTTCCGTTCCGGGAAGAAGTTGAACGACTCGGCTTTAAGGAATTGGAGAAAGGTGCAAAGTGCTTTGCTTGCGATTGCACGGCAAACGCTCTGGCACTTTGGGGACGGAGCTATTAACTGTTTGAGATGTCCGCCTTGGACGGGCTGGGGGTTTCTTGACTCAACCCTTCCTACACCATAGAAAGGATGTAGAGGATGGTTGGAGCTTAAGACATGTTTGCACGGCGCTGTGGTATTTCTGGGAGGCACTGAACATGCTGGACAAATACTGAAATGTTGACAAACAAGTTCTGAGTGACGAAGTTGGAAGGAATCTAGAAGTAGGTCCCCGCAGTTTCGCACTGTTTGCTACCGCACCATAGATGTAAAACAAACTGACCTGATGCTCATGTCAATTCGAAATAGGTGCGTGCCGAAGTCAAACAGCACTTCGTGAGCTATCACTGAAAGCGACACCTCCCAGAATGCAATGGAAGGAATTCTCATGAACTTCTCTCATTGTGTGCATCACGTAAAGATGTCAACTCAATGAACGTCGGGTTTACTCAGGGCTGCCAGTGACGTCACGAGAGCCACCTTCGCAAAAGAATCACTCCGTCTTCCCCTAGATATGTTTCAATTGTCTTGACCCAGACGAAGAGGATCAAATAACTCGCGTTTCAATCACTTCGGGAATCTAGTTGGCAGAGACGCACGGCAACATCTCTGGAAGGAAATAATATGAATCGCCCAAAAATAGGAAAAAGACTTTTGTGGAGAGGCGATGGTGTGGAGCCTAGACTTCCATTTTCCCTTGCTCATCAAATCCCTCCGGAATCGAGCCCAGCCGACCTTCCCATGTTGCCTCGCGCCCTTGCAGCTGCTCTTCGATTTCAATTCGCTCCAGATCCCAGATAGACACCGACCTCTTATGGAAGGCTTCATCCTGCAGATCCTTCACATCCTTGCCCTCCATGTCGAAGAGCTTTCGAGCAACAGTTTCCGACTCTTCTCCAATAGCAGAAAGCCTGAGCACAAACTTTTTGTCCACATTTCCAAACTCCTCAATCAGCTTGCGCAAAGCTGTGACAAACTTCTTCCCATCTACCTTAACGCCTTGGGTAGCCGAACCATCCATATTAGTAACCGTTCCCCGCGGCTTAAGCCCTTCCATGAGCATTTCGACCCTCGCTGCCTTATCTTCCGTCCGTAATAGCGACCTGATAAGCTTTATCTCCGGGTCCAACCCCACCTCTTGGACGGCGGACGCATGGTCCAGGACCATCTGGACGATCTCTACAGCCTGGGTGGCGCCGGCCGTCTTCGCCTGCTCAATGTTGGCCTGCAGCAGCAAAACAAAAGCGTCATCAATCTTCCCCTTGCGCGCCAGGGTGTCGACGGCGGCGCGCATGGCGGCGGGATCTCCCGCGGCCAGGACGGACTTGACGGCGTCCATGGCGGCGGCCATGCGGTCATTCATGGCGGCTGAGATGGCATCACGGATCTCGTGGCAGTTCTGGGCCTGAGGGCCGCCCTCGGCGATGCGCTCGCCGAGACGCTCGAGCAATGTGAGGTCGATGCGGTCGTACGACGCGTCGATGGTGGTCTTGAGGGCGGCGGCGCTTTCCGAGAAGGCGGCGGAGAATTGGTCCAGCAGCTCGTCGTACGTGGCGGTCGCGACGTCCTGGCCGGAGGAGGGGATGTCGATGGCGGGGGCTTGGGGCTGCTCCTGTTCGGCGGCGGCGGCGGCGGCGGCGGCGGCGGGGGTGTCCGCCTTGGCGGCTTGGTCGTAGAGTTGCTTCATGATGTGGGTGATGGCGTCGCGGAGGTCGCGTAGGGTGTCGCGCTCGGGGATGTCTGCGGAGGAGTCGATCTTGGATTGGAGGAAGGCGTAGAAGGAATCGTCGAGGGAGGGGAGGTTGTTCTGGACGAGGGCGGGGAGCTTGTCTGGTTCGGAGAAGCGCATCTCGGCGAGCAGGATCTCGTTTTGGTCCGGGGCGAGACTCTGGCCGAAGCCTTCCGGCATGCCGACGAGCTGGGCGCGCAGGCGTGAGCGGCGCGGGAGGCGCGGCGACGGCGCCTGCCGGCATGGCCGGAGGGCGCGGCGCGGCGCGCGGAAGGCGCGCACGGAGGGCGCGGTTGCGAAGGCCATGCGGGCTGGAGGCGGGGAGTAAACAGGCAGGAGGGAGGAGAGGCGGGAGCGGAGGAGAGACGGGAGCGGAGAGAGGGGGAGGGGCGTGAAATGGGTCGGGTAGGTTGGGGGGTGGTCGGAGATTGTGGGGTTGAGCTCGATGTGGAATTGTACGGAAATGGATTACGTATTACTTTGGCTGCTCCTTTCATGTTTTATTAGAGCATCCCCACCGGTAGAATCAAATACCCAAACAACCAAAATTTGATGATTTGATGTCGATTGAAATCCCCACCGGTGCAACCAAATCATCAAATTTTTCGTGTCGATCTAAAAATCGGAACCAAATATCAAGAATTTGGTTCGGATAGTCTCTGTTTGATTACCCTTGACAATCCAGTTGTGCACGTTCTATTGGTCCACCGAAACGGCTTCCCACCAAAAAGTGCACCGATGCCGGGGTGGTGGTGGTGACGCGGGAATATTATGACCGCGAGCGCCAGTGCGCTGATTGGGGAACATAAGGACAAGTGTCCTTTTCATAATATCTTTTGTAGTCATTTTAATTGGCCGGAAATGGCCAGGTGGTGTTATCTGGTTCGTTAAGATTAGGAAACTAGTGGAAGCTGAACCGTGGCTGCGGGAGATTACTTGGACGCTTCGAGGGGTACTTATCTAGTCAGTAGTGTTGAAGAAAAGAGAGGCCAAGCGGCCCATCACGTCTTTGCATAGAACCGTCATCGCGAGAACTAACAGTGGTACTTCTGTCGAGGGTCAGCATGAGTGGCCTTGAAGAGTTCTCCTTTGATGGTGAGGGAGATGTACAACGTTTCCTGTTTTACTTCGAGAATGTCATCGCTCGCCAAGACGACGACCTCAAACGTTCCGAGAAGGTCTTGTTGTACCTACGTAGTAAGGCGTTTGACGCCTATTACACGAAGTTCGGCCAAGGTGGTGTCCTCTCCGAAGAGGCTCACTCGTACACGGTCGTTAAGACTTTTCTTTCCGACACTTTTCAAGAAAAATGAGACCCCGAAGAAGTTGTTCGCCTTGCTGTGGAAGCCAAGTATGACGGGGGTGACTTAGGGGACTTTATACAGTCAACCGAAGAGTTATACCGTCAAGCTTCTTTCCGAGAGGAGACTAAGTTTGGGTTGCTCAAGAGAGCCGTTCAGTCAGATAGCTTTGTGACCCAGTTTGTTATGCTACACAAGCCCGAAAACTTCAAGGAGCTCGTGAAGACATTGAAAGATTGAGACAAAAGCCGAAAGTCGTTCGGTGGCGACCATCTAGTTAGAGCGGAACATTACCAGAATGTACGTTCTCAACAGCATGGAGTTTCCGCTCAGCGCAAAACAGCCGGGAAAGACCAGGGAGTTGATACGAGGATTGCTGAGCTAGCATCGCAGCTCTCAGAGTTAACACTGCTTCTCAAGAAAAGCCAACAGGGGTTGCCATAATCTTCAGATAGGGCCTCCTGGAGTTGCTCCTACTGCAAGAGGCCCGGTCATGGTGCCAGTAGATGTGAACTGAATCCGAACCGTGAGTCTAGGTGCCCCCGGTGTGGCAAACTCGGTCACAGAGAGGACACCTGTTGGTTCAAGCCGTACCCTGGTGCTCCAATCCGCCCTACGAGTGAGATATCTGCGGGAAGCAAGAAATCAGGACAAGCTGTTAGGGTGTCTGGAGTTGCACCCAGCCGCTCAGGGAGTCTGGAGCAGCTATTCGTCGTCAACGAGCTCCCCAAGGAGAATGATGACTCAAAAGTGAGTCCGTCTCTGTCCATTATTGAAGAGATTGAAGAAGTGACGGCAGGGAAGAGGGACAAGGATGGCCAATCTATGGCCAAACAGCCTCGTCGCCACGAGGTAAAAGAAGTCTCATCGATTCCGGTTCCTAAACTCTTGAATCCGATTCCAATGGGGCAGATTCAACCGACATCTATAGGACGAAAACCAAAGAAGAGTCGTCACAGAGCACGAAAACCGATGAAAAGGTCTAAAAAGGGCAAACTCGAAGAGCTGAGTGCCCGCACCGAGAAGTTTGACCTTCTCTCTGGACTAGCACAGGCAGCTAGCGGCATTACATTTGGCCAACTGGCACGAGGGGATGCAGAAGATGCCAGGAAAGAAATGCGGAAGCTTTTCGTTGCTCCTACACGACGAGTCCAGCGTAAGATCTCCTTCATTTCCAGCAATACACCGGCATCGCGCCCTTCCAGCCGGTTGAGCATGATAGATATCATGATTCATGCATATCCGGTCCGGGCTCTTCTTGATTCTGGTTCAACTCCGAACATTATGTCTCTCAAGCTAGTAGAGAAACTACAGTTAAAGACTTCTTCTACGGCGAGGAGGATCACTGTGGCCAACGGAAGCACCGAGGAGGGTCTAGGAGTTGCACTTGAGGTTCCTGTGCTCTTTGGGACACTCTCAGCTGATATGGACTTCCTGATCTTGAAGGGTGCCCCATTCGACGTTATTGTGGGAGCACCGACGATGGAAAGCTTGAGCACAAAGTTGGATTTAGGGCGTCAGACTGCTCAGTTCACACGAGATGGAAGAAAAGCTACCCTCGTGCTCTCTCGTGGTGTGCAGAGTGACGGAGGGAGTGACGAAGAAGAGTTCACGACCGACTCGGGAGCGGAGTCCACTGAAGGCTCCCCCTCAGACGAAGAGAGCTCTGAATCCGAAAGTGAAGAAGGGTATGTGCTCTGCATCAGGAGCGATACTTCCGAAATCGTCAAAGGCCTTGAGCGCAGTCTATTGCAAGCGTCAGGGAAGCAGTTTCTCCAACAAGCTGAAGCAGAAAGGACGAATGACTCATTTGAGAATGTTGACGAGCTTGACAATCCGGACGGATTTGAAATCGACCTGCCGGGTGATCCAAGTTTTGACATGAATGTATGGGAAAAGCTGCAACACCTTGAGCGTGGTGCAGCGCTCGAGATATACGCAAACCTGCAAGACAACGATGTGATTGCATCGTCACTTCATGATCTACGCCCAGCTTCAGTTCCAGTAGAACACACTTTCGAGCTCAAGGACATGACCCCAATCCATCACCGCTGTCGAAGACTACCGCCCAAACATAATGCGGTAGTGAGAGCGGAACTTGATAAGATGCTTTCGGCAGGAATCATTCGACCTTCTGTATCGCAGTGGTCCTTCCCAATCGTCATTGCTTCCAAAAAGAACGGAACCCCACGTTTCTGTGTCGACTACCGAACCCTCAATAAGGTGATGAAAGCAGACCGTTGGCCTATACCCCTGATTGAAGAAATACTTGATGAATTAAAAGGATCGAGTATCTTCTCGACACTCGACCTGTTCACCAGCTACTGGCAGGTGCAAGTCGCCGAGCAATACAAGGAGATGACGACATTCATATGTCGAAAAGGGACATTCCAGTTTGAGGTGATGCCTTTCGGACTGATGAACGCCCCCGCAACGTTTCAGAGAATGATGACGACGGTATTAGAAGGAATTGAATATGCAGTCGCGTACATAGATTACGTCGTCTTCCATTCATCTAGTATGGAAGAACACATCACCCATCTTCGTTCAGTATTGTCAAGAGTCAAATCGTACGGCTTGAAACTCAAGCTTTCAAAATGCACCTTTGCCCGCCGGTCTGTCAGCCTGTTAGGGCACATCGTGAGTGAAAAAGGGGTCGCAGTGGACCCGAGGAAGACACAGGCTCTACGAGATACTAGAATCCCTCAGACGAAGACAGAAGTGCGGAGCTTCTTGGGCTTAGCATCATACTACCGCCGCTTCATTCCGCGATTGCGAAGCCGTTGCACGAACTTACAAGTGCAAAATCCGCCTTCTTGTGGGACAAAACGACGCAGGACGCATTCAATAAGCTCAAGGATCTTCTGTGTAGCCCACCAGTGCTTGCTTACCCCGACTTCAAAAGGCATTTCGTCGTCTATGCGGATGCTTCGACGGTAGCAATGGGTGCTGTTTTGACGCAAAAAGGCGAGGAACAGCAGGAGCATCCGGTCTGCTATGCCAGCAGAACGATGAATAGTGCGGAGAAGCGCTATTCTACGTACGAAAGGGAAGCATTAGCTGTCGTGTTCGCACTCAAAAAGTTTCGAGTGTAACTTCTGGGGACCCCTTTCATACTGTACACGGATCACCAAGCTTTGAGGGCGGCGTTCAATAGCCGGGATCCCCACGGGCGATTGTCACGCTGGCTCGCTTTTCTAGCCGAGTATGACTTTGAAATCAGATATCATCCTGGTAGAGACAACGTCGTTGCGAATTTCTTTTCCGGAGCGCATGTCAATCCAACCTCTGAGAAAGTTCTAAAGACGAAAGGTACGGAAGCAGCAGCCAACAAGATGAGCAACGGGCGACAGTTGAGCGTACACGCTGCGACAGAAACGGATCGCAGAAACGAGACTGTGACAGCAGCCTCATCCTCCTCGTTTGAAGATTTCTTGGGTGAAACAATGCCATACCTAAAGTTCCAAGAGACCGACCCGCAGGACAAAACGAAGATGAAACCGTTCTCGAGAGCTGTGAAACAGCAGGCGAAAAACTTCCTAGTTTCAGATGGCCACCTAATTCGAAGAACGAGAAACGGCTTGCGCGCAGTCCCTCCCACCTTAATCCGCAAAGGCATAATTCATCAATTGCACGATGATTTCGGGCACTGGAACGCAAGAACGACGTATCAAATAGTAGCAGGACGATTCTGGTGGCCGAGAATGAGGCCCGAAGTAATGAAACACGTGCGTGAATGTGAAGGATGCCAAAGAGCTTCTCCCCCGATTCCATACCGAGTGCATCTCTTTGCACCGATAGTGCGTATATTCGAAACGGTTTCAGTCGACTTCGCTGGCCCCCTTCCAATGACCCGCCGAGGTAATCGGTATATTCACATTGGGGTGGAGCATCTCACGGGGTGGCCTTTTGCCACCGCGCATACAGGAGCGAGTAGCGGAGC